AAAACGTAGCAAAAATTATGAGGAAACTCAAAGATACTCACATCCCTGTGTTATTCAAGTTAGCTGTTATTTTTGGTTTAAATTATCTACTTCTAAAAATACAGTTTTTTGAGGTTCTGTATGTCATTTTTACAGTTGTTATTTGTCAATAGAGAGAAATGGGTCAGCACAGGAAGTGCCAGTGACATAACACGTCTATTCTGCATCCGGATCTCTCTGCTGGTACTAGCTTCAAATTAATCACAAAAACAGTAAATTTTAACACCATAAAGTGTGATGATCTAGAATAATACACATGTACAGGATTATGCTTTCAAAGGAGAAGAAATGCAGGTGCTGTTTATTCCTTAAAGAATGACCCAATGATGCTGCAGCCATGGAAGCAGGCAGGCTGCCTTGCGTCAGTCCAGCTGAGAACCTCATTACCCATCTTTTGAAATATTTCAGCTGCAGAAGCAACACACTTACGTAACACTCACTTCAGACAAATAAAACAACTCCACTTTTAAAGAGAAGTGCTCTGTAGCTCCTCCTGCTGCTTAACCCTCACTCTTACAATATGCTCTTTACCTATGAATTGTGAACCATAGTAATATTAAAAGCAAAAAGAATGTTAGTCCTGCAAGGTCTCTTCTGGAGTGGGCAGGTTTCAGATCAGTCCAGAGCCAAGAGCTTGCCTTTGCTCTAGTTTCTATATGAGATAAAGCTATGAGATTTGGCTGCTACATGGATAAAGCTGTTGTCAGAAATGAGACTGTTATTTTTATGTCTCCAGCAAAGTGCCTAAATGTGCTTCATGCAACACCATGGCACTGCTGCAGAAGACTGAAATCTTTAAGCAGGTCACAACACGGTTTCTGATGGATGGACCACCAGCATGGGCATCTAGGCATGAAACTGCCAGCACCTCCTGTGATCTCATGCTGCAGCCAAGATAACTCCTGTAACTGCTCTTTGGGAATCTGTAATGCACCACAAAGGAAAGCATGAGGTCTGGCAGGCAGGATGGACCTGATTCAGCTTCAGAGTTCTTGTATGTCGCTGACATCAAGGGGACTGCTTAGGGTCTTAATTGCCTTGCTGAATCTGAGCCAAAGAGGAAAAAAAGTGAGATGGTAAGCCGCAAGACTATTCAGACTGAGACATTTGGATCCTTTTTTGATAGGATGATTCTCCCCAACAATTCAGGGTGGTTTAGGGGGCATATACCTTGCTTTCTGGCCCAAATTTAGCACACATTTTGGTGCCTGTGTGATATTATTTGTGTGGATCGTGCTATTTATATAGGAAAAGAAAGACACGAGTGAAGTGCCACAGTGGGCTGTTTGTAGGTCAGGGCTACATTTTAATATCTGCAGTGTTCCTGCTAAGGTTTTACAACTGCTAGAGACATCTGGACCTAACAGTGGCATATTCTCAGCTACCGTCCCTGTATCTGTGAGTGTTCTTGTGCCAGAATACTTATTCTTAATCTCTTTAAAAGAAAGAACAATATGTTCTGCAAGTTATAAAATGTTTTTATTAGTAGATAAACATTAGACAAGTAAAAGATAACTATTCCAATATCAATGTTGAAATATTTCTTTTTTTTTTTTTTGTTCTCACCGGTTAGTCAGAACCCATCAAGAATTGCTGCATTTGCCCTAATTAATGGCCCATTTTCAGAGAGGCTTTTAATTAACAGCTGACATTTAAGCAGCATTACAATATGCTGTGCAATTATCACCTGGCCTACTTCTGTGTGATTCAAATGCTCTTGCAGAAAAAGGTACAATGCCTGTTTTAATGAAATTTCATAGAACACCGTGGTGAGAGACAACTGAGAAAAAGAGGAAATAGAGTTGCTTTGTCAGAGGGGCTTAGGTTGGCCTTTCCCAATACAATTTACCTGGTCCAACTGGTCTGGTTGCCCCTCAGAGATGCTCACACATCTCCCAGCTTGGCCCCAGAGCACATATTTCTAATCTACTCCAACTCCTCAAATTCTCTGTGTCATGTCCACCACAGAGTAAAGCAACACAACTGAGCCCATTTTATAGCCTGGTGCTGCTAAGGCAGGACAGAGTTCTGCCTGGAATATCCTCTGTCTTTGTTCCACTTGTTGGCATTCCTGAGGCTTGCTTTCCAGCAATCCAGTCTGGTTCAATTCATTAGCCATGGGAACAAAACAAAAACTAGAGAAGTTTACTGCTTGTGGATGAGCTCAGCTGGCTGTGCAGCCACCCTCACTCCAAGGAAGGAGAAAGAAGCATGGAACCACCATGCACTGCTATGCAGGGAAAAGGTACTCATTTAAGCTGTACTGTAAATTGAGCTATGTTGTGAAATAAGATTCCTGCTTGTGCAGGAAGGTAGAACATACATGAGCGTATTTTTGTATTGTATACACTTTGTGCCAGAACACAAATGTCCAATCAAATGATGGGGCTGGTAGCAGGGAAAGGTGTGACCAGGTGGCAGAAGCCTTCTGGCCCTATGGCAGCAGCCATACCAAGCCCACTCCTACAGCACTGAGCTGTAATCAGAGGACTCTGAGGAGCAATCACTTGCTTCATCCTGCCTCTTTAAACTGCTCTATATTGCATGCAAGAACTTAAAGGAGGCATTAAGGTTTAAATACATCAATATTTGCTGGGTCACCAAGAGACTGAGCAAACACTGAGCTGTGGCCATGCTGAACCTCTCCCCTACTCTCTGGCCTGATGAATATTTAATTATTCTGCAGCAAGAGAAATAGCTTTTGCATGGATGCTTGACTAACCCAGAGTACACTGTGGCCCAGTGATCAGAGAAATGAGTTTGTCTTTCTGGGTAGAAGAGGGCCTTTGACACAGAATCAACACATAGTGGGATCGTAGGGAGTTACCCAAGGAAGAGTTGATCCCTTTGTATACATGTTCAGTGGCAGCAAGTTAGTTGGGAAACAATCCCAGCCATGAGTGTTCATGGCTTTGGTTCATGGCAGGGACAGGCTGACACACAAGTGACTGATAAGGTTACAGTCCTGAGGTATGCACAGTGACTGTGCTGTCCCCAACCAGCCCTGATCCAACGAAATCAAACCAAATTTAACTTGGCATGCAAAGCTGCATTTAGAAAGCTATGACAGCTCAGGGGTATTTCAGAGATCTGTGGTGGGGACAGGAGAGACAGCTGGGGTGGCAATCCCGTTAGCCAGCCTGATATAAACTCCCCCTGTGAACTGAGGCTGTCAGGCACCAATGGGATTTGGGAGCCTCCAGGGTTGGGCAGCTGATCAGCAAGGAGAAACAGAGTATCATGATCTCAGATTTAGAAATTCAAATTTGAGAAATCTTTGCAAAACACAATGCAGGTACCCAAGCTATTTTTGTGGATCTACTCTTTGAAGTGTGTGGCCTTTTATTCTTTCCAAACAAAGTTGATGATGTTTTCATCCCAAACATTACAGTCAAGGGACTATTTAAGAATTGACCATGGGGTCATGTGTTGGTTAGTATCTAATAATTCCTGAGATGTCATTGGTTTGTTCAATGACTCTGAAAGGAGCTTGTAAAAATAGTTCCATGGAGCTGTGCATATATTGGAATTCGATATTTCAGTCTGACAGCCTTGAACCTAAGAGCGAGGCTTTGTTCTTTTAGCCAGTGCACAGCCATCAGCTATAATGGAGTCGAGTCGGGGTCAGTGATGGGAAACAAGAATATGCTCAATAATTCAGGCGATGACCTGACTTTCCTATGGTTTAGCAATACAAGGAGAAAGTGTCTCCAAAATTAATGGGATTTTTGAGTAAGAATGAGAAACTGTTCGCAGGATTGCTTGTCTTTCTTTCCTCTTTTTTTTTTTTTTTTCTTATTGCACAACAAAGCATGCAGGAACAAGTGTCACTGTCCTGCTGGTGGAATTTTCAACATGTAAGGGATCAAAGAGAATCTTATTAGTCTGTGTTTCTACGGTCTTCATTCCACAGTAGTAATATATCCTTTTCCAATCACGACAATATACAAGAATGAGACAAACAACGAAAATTAAGGTCAGGCTTGCGCTCCTTTCTTCAAGCACTGCTAGGTGGCAATATGTTCCCTAGAAAACCACCAGCTTCCTTCCAGGCACTGCTCTGCCGTCCTCAGGACAGCCTGGGCACTGCTTCATCCAAGGCGAGAAGGTTTTAGAGGACGGCATGCTGAGGGCTGCTTCCTTCCCACAGTCTAATTTGGGACTGAGGATTATCAGAAAGAAATGCAGTACCAAATCCTGCTGGAAAAGTCTCCACGAATAGGAGAGGAAAAAATCTTTACACTGAATGAAGGAACAAATTTCCTGGGGCATTATTTGTGTACTGGGAATGCTGTAACAAGGAAATGAATCCCCCTGTTCTATGAAGATATTGCCACTTAGGACTGGAGTGTTTCATATCCCTACAGGATTCTCTTAACAATGGAAAATTAAAAGTATCTATCTGTTCAGAGTGCAAAGATTTTGTTTCTTCTAAATGTATGACTAACTGAAATACTTTGCATGTTTAATCATAATATTTAATCAACTAGACCAACTACAGGACATTTGTATTGACAGTTCGGTTGATATACAGCTTTAATAAATGTGGAGAAGCACTTCCAAGGATATTTTTTTCATCCATGCTACAAACAAGTGAGTCATCTCACACACGTATATTAACAATAAAGGCCGGCTGGCATCTGCATATCGCTTTGTATGCACCAGATCTGCGCTGGAACCCCCATTTATGTTCCTGGGTTTGCTTCCCCCAGGAGGGGAGCTCAAGGCTCTTCTCTCGTTACAGCGCGGCGGGAGCTCCGTGGGCTAACTCCTCCGAGCCGGGGCCGTCCTTCAGCGGTGTCACCCACAGACTGGCACACAACCTGCCCTGCCCAGTGCCCGTCCACCGCCATCACCTCCCGCAGGGGGCTGCCCCGATATCCGCCGCAGCCCAGCAGCCCCCGGTTGTGCGTTGCGGGCTCTTAGGGCGCGGCGCCGGTTCCCGGTGGGGCCGCATTCACCGCAGCACCGCCCGCCAGTCCGGCAGAGCGAGGGGAGCGGTGGTGTCGTGTTGTGCCGTGCCGCTGGCAGGTCAGTGCCCGCCTCTTTTCGGGCAGCCCGAGTTGTAGGGCGAGCAGGTGCTCCGCGGGGTGCCGGGCTCGGGGCCGCTGCTGGGGCCGGCCATGCGGGAGGAGTAGCTCCTAGCCGAGACGCAGCCGGGCGGCGGGCCGGGCGGAAGGAGCCTGGGTGCGCTCCTCATTAGTGGGCCGGTCCGCGCGGCAGGCGGCATCTGCGTGATCTGTTTTGGTCGGGGCTGGGGATCCCGCCGCTTGCTCAGCTTCACTGGAGATCTCTAGTGTTATTCTGCAAGGAGCTGCCTCCCCTCCGGCTCTGCTCGGCCCGGAACTGGAGTGCAGGGCTTCTTTCCCTCCCTTTGCTGTTGGTTTTGTAGAAGAAAAACGCATCTGCACCAAAAATGCTTGCTTTGATCAGCTGAAGTGCTGCAGTGGTTTGCAGCTGGAATTAATTCACCCTCATGCTTTTTATGGCTTAGGGTTTGGTGACTGAAAACCTGCTAGTGGTAATTTCTATGCCTGTGGAGCACTGCATCTGTTCATCTAGCAATGTCCAAAGCTCACCAGTGAACTTTGAGCTGAAACCTGGGTTCTGACAGTGCTACATGGAGTCCTTTGCTAACAGAGGTAAATAGAACCTCTTCACATCAAGACTTTAGAAATATAGCATCTGCAGAAGGTGAGGGGTTCTTGCTCTCACTCTCTACTATGAAGTTCAGTCCATGTACTTACCCTGTGAACACACTCAAGTGCTATCATGTAGTAGCATGTACTTTATTGAAGAGCTTCTTTTACTAGCTGTTTCCTATCCTTGAAGGCCATTATTTTTCACTGAACCTCAGATAAGTGTGATTGGTTTATTAAATCTTAAAAGTAATTGAAACCTGATTAAAAGAGAGCATAATTGCTTAGGAATGGAGAGACAATTCAAGTCTAAACTTTAGCCTGCAGAGACCATTAAAAGTATAATGCTCAGCAGCAGAAAACAGATAACTTGAAAATCACATAACTTGTCATCCCCAAAATTGAGCTGTTCAGTAACAAGGGAAAAACAAGGGGAAAAAGAGGCAGAAAGAAAAAAATAATAAGAGATCAGGTAAAAGAAGACAGGTATAAAGGGTAAGCCAGACTAAAACTGAAACCATAGACAAATTAACTTGTGAAGTTAAAAGGCTTTTTTCAAAATGTATTTTGTGTACATGATTTGAAGCAACTTCAATTAGTTTCACCATCTCACTTGTTCTCTCAGCTTCTGGAAATATAAACATTTTTTTTTTTGGCTGACATGGGGAAATTGGGAGACCTAAATCCATTGTTCTTTTCTCAGTGGTACTATAATGGCTAAAAAAGCCCTTCTTTTATAGGCTATTTCTAAACTCCATTCTTACAGGAATTACAAAGCTCTTTAAGGATCTTCACACTGAAGTGAAGGGATATTTGAACCTGCCTTGTCTAGCATGTAGGTACCAAAGACAATATACTAGAAGTCTGAACAGGGTTCAGCAAGTTAAGAGCTAGAATGCCTTGAGAAGGGTATGAGCCTTAGGTAGCTGCTCTTGGATTTAGCAGGAGTTCCCACTTTGTCTAGAAATGCCATAATGAGATGCTTTTCACTTAGGGCTGTAGAATATCCCAAGATTTTTTTCTGTTTGTAGGTTATGTTTTGTTGCTAAGTTTTGTGCTGCTGCTCCCATAGCCTGTTCAAGATCTGCTTGCTGCTTTCTTCCAGCAGAATTAAGCCAGTTGAAGAGGTTATTGCCCTTAGCTTGCCTTAGCTGATAGTTAACGGAATGGGAAAAACCTGTCAGGTAAGGTGTTCAAGTAAACTTGACCACACATTGCTGAAGGAAAGAAGCATGGTGTATGTGCAGATGAGGTAGGCAGGGACTCAGTAATCTTCAGGTGAGCGGTTGTGACGACAGTTGGGTGGGCTGATACATCCCACCTTCACTTCTCTTGCATCTTAAGCCAGGGTTCTCTGACTTCACTATCAGGCCTATGCCCTTGTTTGATTTTCATCTATGCTGGCCCTCTTGAATCTTGCAGTTTCTGAATTCCAACACTGGATGTTTCCTCCCCCTTTTTTTCCCCCCTAACACTCACCAGCTACTATCCCTGATTTCAGACAGCTGATGTTTACGATTATCACTCTTTGTACAAGAGAACTATTGTCTTGCTTTGGATATATTTTTCCTTTGCTCTTGCTCTTTTGCCTGCTTTCATGCTGTAGAGACCATCATGCTGGTCCTCAGCATTGGGTCACCACTTGTTTTCATTTGTTAGCTGGTCACTGTGGGGAGCTGGTGAAGCATCCAGCAGTCACACTCACTGCACCCTAGTACAGATGGGTACCTTCCACGCTGTCTGGTGATGCACGTGCATGTTGAGCCATGAGTCATCTCATAATCATCTTCAGTTTACCTCTTCTATCCCTTTCTCTATGCCCCTTCTTTACAATTCTGTGCTTGTCACTGAAATTACCGCTGTTGGAGGTCTTTGTCAAGGTCTGTGCTTCTTGAACTGTCAGCTGCCTTTTAAGTGTTTGGCAGTGTCACATAAGTGTCTTTATAATGCTCTTTTGTTATGATGTTTAAATATTTTCTTTCTCTTTAGATTTCTTTTATGGATTTTGTACGTTATATCCCTTTCTTTTCTGCTATACTTTATCTCAGGATACCTTTATCCAAGACAAAAAATTCAGCTGATGTCCTTCACAAATGACACATGGGTCTGTGTCTGCATTTCATACCTATCATCTCCTGCCCCCATGAATGGGCTTCTTTATTTCTCTGGTCTCACACAGGTACCCGGTAAACTCTGCATGGTGAAAACACATCTCTGCATACTTTCTTTTTTCCTTATTTGTGTCAGTAATTCGGGCATTATTTTTGAGTGTTTAAGAGTTTCCCCTGCTTGCATATTTTAATTTGCCTATTATTTTTGTGTAGCTGCTCTGTGATGCATACAGCTCAAGTTCTTATTTGGGCTCCCAGCATCCAGTTCTCTGGATTGCCTTAGTTCACAGGATCGTAGGGGTTGGAAGGGACCTCCAGAAATCATCTGATCCAGTTCTTTTAAAGCAGGTTCCCTACAGCAGGTTACATAGGAAACCATCCAGGTGATTTTGAATATCAGCAAAGAATGACACTTCACAGTCTCTCTGTCACCATCACAGGGAGCCTGTACCAGTGTTCTGTCACATTCCCAGGAAAGTTATTCCTCATATTCTTCCTGTGTGCCAGTTTGTGCCCATTGCCCCTTGTTCTGTTGCTGGGTACCACTGAAAAGAGCCTGGCCCCATCCATGTGACTCCCACCCTTTAGATATTTACAAGCATTGATACGATTCCCCGTTAGTCTTCTCTCCAGGCTGAACAGTCCCAGATCTCTCAGCCTCTCCTCATAAGTGAAGTGCTCCAGGCCCCTCATCATCTTTGTGGCCTTCTGCTGGACTCTCTGAGGTTCCCTGTCTTGAATTGGGGAGCCCAGAACTGCACACAATGCTCTAGATGTGGCCTCAGCAGGGCAGAGTAGAAGGGGAGGATCACCTCCCTCAGCTGTCTGGCCACACTCTTTCTAATGCACTTCAGGAAACCATTGGCTTCATGGCCAACATGTTGTCCACTAGGACACCCAGGTCCTTCTCTGCAGAGCTGCTTTCCAGCAGGCCAACCCCTAACCTGTACTGGTGCATGTAGTTATTCTTCCCCAGGTGTAGGACTCTGCACTACCCCTGTTGAATCTCATCAGATTTTTTTCCTCCCATCTCTCCAATCTGTCCAGGTCTCGCTGTATGGCAGCACAGTCTTATGGTGTATCATCTACTCCTTTCAGCTTTGTATCCTTAGCAAAATTGATGACGGTGCATTCTATCTCTTAATCCAGGTCACTGATGAAGTTGTTATGCCCGTCTAAGATTTTGCTAGGTATATCCTGTACCTACTGCTCTGGCCAGCCAAATTCATGCTCTCTGGAAACTGCAGCTGGGTGCTGACTGAGGTTGCTATTTGAGGTAGTGTGTTTTTAGAGATTGGAAGAAAATAATGGCATTTTCTAGGACAAAAATACTTGCTTGAGTCTTGAGGTTTATTATTTACTCAGTGAATCTGATCAATTAGGGAGTGTTTATGGTTTACATTTTTTTTTTTTTTTTATCATTATTTTTTTTATTATATTTTATTTTTTATTAACATCATGAGAGCTGAATTTTAACTAAGCAGTTACAGAGGTTTCCAAAAGGACTCTGATATATATATATATATATACACATAATATATATATATACATTTACATATATATATATATATATAAAAAATAAATACATGCACAAAAAATAAAAAATGCATGTCTGTGTATGTGTGTATTGCTCCTGTACATTGTGTATCATTTCTACAGTGCTGAGTTGTTGACTTTCAGCATATGTTTGTATTAATCCATGATCTTCCAGTCCATGGATAAGTGCATTAAAAATCATTTAAGTACTATCTGGGATGTAAACTGTTGCATTATGTGACAGATACAACAACTGGTTACTGATGTAGCTGCAGGTTGTGGAACATATAACTCTTGATATCTGCCCTGGTGGCTTGTCTGTCCATTGTTACTGTTGATATGTTAGAACTCTAGCAGTTTTTACAAGCAGAAAATTGGTAGTTGTCCGTAGTGTACTGTATTGTCAGAAAGTTGATTGTTGTAAAATCATGCATAAGTTGTGCGTGTTGCAGATGTTAATGGATATAGCATGCCTGACTTTCTGAAATTAGACAAAAACTTCATTTCTGTAAATTATCTAAGTAGACAAGTATATTAAACTGAAAACTTCAGTCTAGTAAATGTATCTTGTCGTGTCCTGTGGCATTGTGCTGGTTAATGCAATTTGTCCTTGCACTCCTTCATTTGCACTACAAAAAATCCATTTGAGTCACATTTTGGATTGTGAGCATTTCCTACTTGAATGTTGTTTATCAGAGATCAGCAGAAATTCCTTTAGTTTGAGAGCACTGAAGCATAAATATCACGGTTTTCCTGAGTGATCAGCTTTCTCAGACTGAGCAGTTAAAATAATCCTGTATTTATTAGAAAAGTAGTGGGTACTGCCCAGTGCTGTAAAAGATGGATTTAAAAAGAATAATTCAGTGATAATACCTTGCATGAGTCATTAATCATGAGTCATGATCAGCATGCAGTGATGTTTAATTTGTTTTTTAATTCGGCACTGACTGATGCTCTTTATTACCATAGTGATAATATTAAAGAGCTGTTAATGCGTATAACCACACAGTTAAAAATGACAGACTTGGTTGTGTTTTTTTTTTTTTTTTTTTTTTTTTGTTGTTGTTTTGTTTTGTTTTTTTGTGGAATAAAATTTCCATATCTTAAGTCTGCTTTGCTTTGTACCTTCTTTGACATGTAAAGTCTAGGTAGTATAAAGGTGATCAAACAATTGTGAATTGCCAGGGACTTAGGTTAAGTAGAGAGACTTTTTTCACCTTTTTAATTTTTTTTTCTATTTTTGTTGTTGTTTTAGGCCCGTCATTGTGGTTTCCCAAATAATTAATTCTAGTCCTTCCTCTTTGGAGGGTTGGGGAAGATTTGTATTCATTAAAATTGGAAACTAATTGCTTTGTGTTGAGTCAAGCATAGTACAAACTAGAGTTTGCAGCAGGAGCCTGTGCCCATCCCTGTTTTTAGTGTTTGTTCTCTCTGGCAAAAACTAGTAGCTGGGTGGGAGTTTTATTGTATGAATGCATATGTTGAAAAATGAAGTTTTAGAGAAACACTTCATTTTCAGTGCTTTATGTGGATTGCCATAAATCAAAGCTGAGTAAATTAATGGAGCTTGTCACATTATTCCCTTACGTAGTTGATTTATTTATTTATTTACTGTTCTAGCACCTTGCTAGTTAAAATGAATGAGAACATGGAAGGCTGTTTCTCTCCTGAGAGCCTGAACATAAAAAGAAGAATGTGGCTAAGAAATTGGCTTTGGTAATCTGTTTTCACTTTTAAATAAAAATTATAAAGAAGCGATTTTACAAGCTGTGAAAGTGATGGCTGAGGTGTTAGAGATATTAGAATGTGCGTAGATAAAGAACAGGAGGTTGATGTTATTTGTGGAATTATTCATCTTGTATTCAATCAGATTTTAATACATTTTAATTAGCTTTACATACATTTTTATTAGCTTATACATGAGTATGCAAAAAATGATTATGACAAATTAAAACCTTGAATTTCATAAGGAACTTAGATGGAACTTCAGAATGTCTTATCAGATGTTAAGCAATGATTCCTCTACCTACTCCCATGTATATGATGTTATAATATATGGCTTTGTATAGGTCTTACCAGCATGTTTGTGAGATAGCAATGTGGCAGAACCAGTATGAATCTGTTGGCATAGGTGGCTCTCTTTGAGCTCCCCATATAGCATATACTGTTTTGCATTCTGTTACATGGCTGCTGTGCAGACTCCTGCTCTGTTTAAGTGGGGATTGTATTTGCCCCAACAGAAGCATTTTCCCACTTTAGTATCCAATGATACAAGCTAGTTGTATCACCTAACTGGATTGTTTTGTTCTTTCATTGTAAAATACTAGATAAAACGTGTGTATTTAACATGTATTTGCTCTTACATATATATAATAACGTTCTCAACAATTTTACTCTATTATTAGCTGTGAGGTGACCTGGGCACAGTATAGAATATATTTTTCACCAAATTTCATCTCTATTTTTGCTTTAGTTCCACCTTAAAATTCACGTGGGCTACTTGCCAGTTCTGGAAGAATCTTGTTTCTGCCAAATATGACTGTCGGAGGAGGCCTTTTCCCAGTTCTCCAAAAATTGAACGTTCACCATGTTTTGTGCACAGGTTTATGAATTAAAAAGGGACCAGAGATAAAGACAGGGCTAGTCTAGCAATACAGCAAGCCTTTTTATGTGTCCTGTTCTTCTACTTCCCACTCTGAGTGGCTTCTAAGACCACGCTTTCTTTTTCAGACCAACTCTTCAATTCGGAATTTACCCAGCTTTTTTCAAATCGCTTGTAAATCACTTTTTCCATTAGAATGCTTTCCAAGTGAATAAAGTGAAGTCAAACATCAAGAATAGTGCTTTATGACTTCCTTTTAATTTCCTGGTGTACATTTCCAGGAATGGTAGATCCTGTCTGATAGACCTGATTTAATTCTATGTCAAGGTAGATGAAGGTAAGGCTGTCAGTGTGGTCTACTTACTGGACTTCAGTAAGGCTTTTGACACTGTCCCCCATAACATTCTAGTTGAGAAGCTGGCTGCCCATGGTTTGGATGGGTGCACGCTCCTCTGGGTGAAACACTGGCTGGATGGCTGGGCCCAAAGAGTTGTGATCAGTGGAGCTAAATCCAGTTGACGTCTGGTCACAAGTGGTGTCCCCCAGGGCTCGGTACTGGGACAACTTCTTTTTAACATCTTTATTAATGATAATGAGGGGATTGAGTGCACCCTCAGTAAGTTTGTGGATAGCACCGACGTGGGAGGGAGTGTTGGTCTGCCAGAGAACAGAAAGGCACTACAGAGAGACCTGGATAGAGTGGATCGATGGGCCAGTGTAAACTGAGTTTCAATAGGGCCAAGTGTCGGGTTCTGCATTTTGGTCACAACAACCCCAGGCTTGGCGAGGAGTGGCTGGAAAGCTGCCTGATGGAAAGGGACCTTGGTGTACTGATAGACAGTTGGCTGAATATGAGCCAGCAGTGTGCTCAGGTGGCCAAGAAGGCCAATGGCATCCTGGCTTGTATCAGGAATGGTGTGGTGTGCAGGAATAGGGTGGATTGCAGGAAGCAATCCTGCCCCTATAATCAGCGTTGGTGAGCCTCACCTTGAGTAGCGTGTTCAGTTTTGAGCATCTCAGTACAGAAAGGACATTGAGGTGCTGGAGCAGGTCCAGAGAAGGGCAACAAGGCTTGTGAAGGGCTTGGCGAATGTGCCTTGTGAGGAGCGACTGAAGGAACTGGGGCTGTTTAGTCTGGGGAAAAGGACTCTGAGGGAGACCTTATTGCTCTCTTCCAGTACCTGAAAGGTGCTTACAATGAGAACAGAGTTGGTCTCTTCTCACTGGTGACAGGACAAGGGGACCAGGGGTGGTTTAGGTTGGATATCAGGAATAACTTTACAGAAAGGGTTGTTAAGCACTGGAATAGGCTTCCCAGGGAGGTGGTTGAGTTACCATGCCTGAGTGTGTTAACCATTTGGATGTGGTGCAGGGACATGATTTTAGGCTATTAGAGTTAAGGTAGTTGCTGATTAGCTTGCTGTTTGGCTTGATGATCTATAAGGTCTTTTCCAACCCGAGCTATTCTGTGATTCTATGTGGTTTTTTACTAGAGTGGAGATAATGGAGGAATACGCCATGGGTGTGCTGGTACATACAAACAGACTACCAACGTTACGTAGCTGTGTAGGAAGCAAGGGCTATGCTCAGTTCATAATGCTTTTGTATAGTTGCTCCTCTGGGGTACTCCTTTGATTCTGGTGCTCAGTGTTGAAATGAGATCAGTTCAAAGAGGAACAAGCTACTGGAACGACTGTGGAAAAACTCAAAGCTACCCAGGGCCTCGGCAGTATCACAAGTTGGTGGAACGTGACAAATGTATTAATGGAATTAGGCTACATGGAACTGAATTCAAGGAAAAGTTTTCAGTTTTTAATTTTTGTGTTCTGCAAGTAATTAACCTGAGAAAATATTGCTGTAATAGTTGCTTGTAGCCAAACTGGAGACGCACCTCCTGAAAACTAGAGGATTTGGTAGGATTTCTCCTCCAATGCAGATGTGTTTCTTTCATTTTGTTTTAGTTAGTTGGTTTGCTTTGTCAAGGGAAGGAGCTGAAACATTGCTGTAGAGTAAGCTGGTCTAATGGAATACACAAGTATTTTACTACATTTCTTGAGCCTCTTCCATGTTCTGCGTTGAAACATATTTTGGATAATTCTTACAAGAAAAGATTTTAAAAGATGCTACTTTCTGTCTTAACTGCTGAAATCACTGCATAACATTCAACTGTTAACTTTGTGGGAGAAGATTCCAGATAAGAATTTTGTGAGTACTGTCTTTCAATAAATTTTTGTAGATCTCTGTGATGGCATCACTTTGATACTAGGTTTTGCTGTGCTTCTCCTTCTGTAGAGGACTGAATTAGATCTCAAAGGAAGATTATTATTATTATTATTTTACTGTTTCTTTCCAGAAATGGCAGTTTTCCTATGGAAAAACGTATTTCATACTACAAAGGGGAGGATGCTACAGCAGAGAAGGGCATCTCTGTATAATGGTGCTCATGGCTATGACGAAGAATTGATAAAGAAGAAACTTCAGCAGTTTGCTGGTGGATCTGTCAACCTTTCCAAAGAGCACAGTGGCATTGGAATACTTACCTTGAACAACTCCCGGCTAATGAATGCCTTCACAGGTATTAATCAGTTGATGAGGATGCTGGTGGTTGCTTTCTTTTCCCCTTCCCTTTGCATAAACAAAGTGAAAAGCTGTATCTTATCATTTCTTAGGTAAAAGAAGAAATGTTTGATTTTTTTTAACCAGAGGTATAGTAAACATCCATGGTTCTGTGTGGTAGCTTTGCCCTGTACATCATAAATATAAGAAGTTCTCAATGACACAAGAAATATCTGATAGAACCTTTTTTTCAATGGAGGTGATTCTGCTGCTGTGCTCTCTCTTATTTCTCATTTCATTTTGCCTCTACTGCTTTAGAAACAGAAGGTATTTTTACAGAGAAGGGAAGATATGATGTAGATGTATTTGTAGATGATGTAGAAAAGACAAGATTGTATTATTGTTTTTTACCTAAAATTTTATCTTTCTCTTAGGCTTCTGCAGTCTGTGGTAATTCACCTAGATATCTCTGCAGTTACTCTTTTGTTTCTTCTTAAAAGCTCTTCTATAAAATCATTGTCTAACTTGAGAAAATGCAGCTAAAAGAACTAGCATGGAGATTGTCCCTCTGAATAACTCCCTGTCAGCATGCATGTTATTATGCAATCACAATTACGCTCTTTTTCTACAGGTTTTTTTTCTTATTTTTGACTTAAAATAGATCTGTGCAAAGTACAGCTGTGGGCTGTGTGTTCATAGCTTACTTGTTGTGGTAGTTGAAACGGGAATGAGAAATAAGCGGCAATAGAAAGAGAAAAGACAGAAAAATCGCAGTCTGCTGTGGAGATCAGGTGTGATATAAGCCATGTTGCTTAGACTAAACTTAATTTAAAACTGTGTTCTTTGTTTTCTGCTTGCTTGACATGAGAGTCTCAGAAATGATATGTAGAAGTGTTAAGCAGTCACAATTGCTATTTAGGCCACTGGTAGCTATGTTTTGACTATACTGAGTGCTATATAATGTTAATGTTCTGAAATCACATCACATACCTCAAATCACAGTCAAAATTAGCTCATATTTTGTGTCTCAGTTAGTGTTCTGTAGTGTAATCTCTCTTCATGTGATTGCTATGAAAATAAATTATTAGTAGACACGAATAGCTTATGTTCTAGTGGCTAACAAGAAGCTATAAAAACCCAGGAGGAAATAAATAGTTGTGTTTTTGTAGTGAACCCAGATTAGAAAATGAGCCTGGGACCAGGCAGTACTGTTTTTATCATAGTATGTAGAACCTTGTAGAGAGCAGTATTTCATTTTGCTACGTGATAGCAACAGAAATTTGCTCTGGGAGATGTTACTCTGTCAGTTTAGGAGATTGCTGCTTTTTTTGACTGTGCATCTTTGCCAGAGATTTTTGCTATGACAGCTGAGAGTGCAGAAGCAAAGTCATGCTGGCCCCTTGGACACTGCAAATGATGATATGGCCTACTAATGTACACTGCTCTTCATTTCATTTTAATTTTATTGTAAGCTGTAGATAATGAGGAACTAGTAAGCAACTTATCATTTTCAGTTTGCTGTATATTGATTAATACCCTTCAGGAGAAGTATGAAAAGGAATAGGATGAGCAAACCTTAAATTGCTACAACAAGACCTAGCTGTCTTCATTTGCCAGAGCCTGTAAAACGCAGTACCTAAATGAAGTACTGTTGATGCTGTATCTCAGAGCTTCTTGAAAATGGCAGATGTGAATTCATGATACATGTATGCTTCCTTTAGAAAGATGCAAAACATAATTAAACTGTTGAGAGAAATCCTGTTTGCCCAGGCATTTATTTTACGCAGCAGCTTTTTATCTCAAAGGAGAACTGTGTTTATTCTAAGCTCAAGCAACACATTGAACTGAAAATAGAACAAAATTATTGGCAAATTGCTAATGGGCAGTGTGGAGGTTGTTATGCCTTTTTTTCTCTTCTTAATTGGAATCTGATAGCTACCTGTTTGAAATGGTTTCTTTGGAAACAAGTGTTAATAATGTCAGTTCAAGCCTAGTGGAACCAATTTCAGCAGCCCAACTTCTTTCTGAATTGAAGTTGAACTTCATTTAAGATAGAAAGAAGGTAGTCTGCGTGAACTAGATAATAATGGTGATGAAGTCAATTATAGAAAATAAATTCAAAGTATTTATTGTTGGATTATAATTAAAATGCAAACAAGTGATTAATTCCAAGTAGATTTAGTGCCGTGTGGAGAATGAACTTACTGGTATCACATAATGAAGGACTAAGACTGGCAGGATGAGTATTTTCTTTGGTATTGTGTCCTCACGCATTGAATCAAATAAACTTGGTAGTGTCTGTTGGTGAAGTAATAGAATTAATGGTAGTTGTCAGTGTACACAGCAATGGAAGAGGTGATCTCCCTGGAAGGGAAGCAGTTGCTGACCTTCTTCTCTAGTCTCCCCTGCTATTGCACGCAACAGCCTGATACAGTTCTTTTTTGTATATTCAGTTTTTCAGTGTTAACTGATTAAAAACTAGATGTTTAACTCACAATACTCTGTGGAAAGACTCAGTAGCTTGCTGCTCTGATTATTTAGAGCACCACAAATGATTGTGCTGTATCTTGACTTTGACAAAGATTTGATGTCAGTCAAAATAACTTTATTATAAGAAAGCTGGAGTTACATGCAAAAAGATAAATCCAGGGGAATGATACACATTTATTTAAAGAATATTTAATGTCCACTTAATTCTTGACTTCCTTAGGAACATTTTCAAAAAGTAGGAAGACTAAGGTGGATGTCCCTTACAGGGTATTCTTGACCTGGTGCTAACATGCTTCCTTTATAAGGAGTTGTAAGGAAAACAAGCAGGAAGAAAGAATCTTCCACATCAGGATGGATGCTATCAGGCTATTTTAGGACATGAAAAGATCAGTACGTGCAGACATTGGGTCAAAAAACCCAAGAGTAGTAGAAGAAAGATTACTTGAGATATTAATCTTAGGCATGCTTATATCTGAAAAAGATAGTCCTGTCCACTTGCATCTTTGTCTAAGAAGAGTGGTGCTCAGAGTATCATCAGCCTATATGTATGTAGTCTGTTTTTTGAAATTAATTTCTGTAAATATTTGTGCCTTAAGAGTGCGTGAGAGTCATACGCGTTCAAAGAGAAAGACCTTGTAGCTAACACTCTGTAAATTCCATTGCTGTGTAGGATAGGAAATGAGGTTATGGTTTTAAACTAAAAAAGGGTGATTTAGATTTAACATTAGGAGGAAGTTTTCTAATATGAGAGTGGTGAGGCTCTTTAATAGGTTGCCCAGAAAAGCTGTAGTGACCCATCCTTGGCGGTGTTCAAGGCCAAGCTGGATGGGGTCCTGGGCAGCCTGGTCTGATGGGTGGCAGCCCTGCTTTTAGCAAGCTTTGGAAGGGGCTTTAAGGTCCCTTCCAACCTAAATGATTCTATGCTTCTGTGATTCTAAGATGCTGCTGTCTGGGACTAGCTCTAGAAACGTGAGTATAGAAATCTGTGTCAGGAAGATTGGGAAAGTTGTCCTCACTAGTTGGTCAGTCAGCAACGATTGAACAGCTTTTAATCATATGTTTATGTGAAGTAGATTAAAAACAGAGATCCGTAACTGGAATGGAAAGCTTTTCTTGCTGAAGAATGAATTATTTTGGATGTCAAATATTAATTCACACTTCAATGTTATGCGGAAGAAGGTGAAAAGAATCACAGACATGGAATGTTGCAGTAATTGATCAAATTATGTATACAGTTGATGAAGACTATAGGTGTGGTCAAAAGGCTTTGGAAGTAGACCCTGCCAATGCAAGTTCAGGGGATTGCTTTGGATAGTGCATAAAAACTAAGTGTTTTCACTGAACAAACTATACTCTAACCTCAGCAGCTTGTGATGACACCTCTGAATTGTTCTTCAAGCTTCTCAATTCTGCACTTAAAATGTGATCTTCAACAAGCTCTCGCACAGCACTGATAATCTTCCACCTTTCAGCCTTTTTCTCAGTTTATTTAGAGCAGAAATTAATCCAAAGAAATCTGTTTCATAACACAGGAGATTAGCATAGTTACAACAGTCCGTAGTACGAGAAAGTTCTCAAGCTAACGAATGAGAGTATTATGCTTAAGCTAGAAGTAAAGAGCTGCTATTATTCAATCCCTACATTTGAAGCTTAGGGTGTAATTTCCAGAGAGCTTTTCTAGACAGTTACCATAGAAGGAATAAAAGAAGTTTCAGAAATATCTTTTAAAACTATTCTTTTAAAAGACAAATGTAATTTGCTTCTAGTTTCAAATCTTATTTTTATTATTTTTTGAATGGATGCTTGTCATTGACCTTCAACATATTTTGCTCTTGAGCCTTTTTTTTTAATATATTTTTAAAAATCTTTTCAGCTGAGTATGTAGAGTGAAATATGCAGTGGTGCTAAAATGAAGAGCTGATCCGAATAGACACAAATAAGTTCAGATGTCCTGAATTCATGCAATTACAAACAAAAATAAATCAAGTACAATTTGTGTTTACTTCTTTGCACTTCTTTGTTTAGCTTTGAGTGTAATGCAAATTGCAGAATACTCTTTAGAATTCCAAGTGCATCGCTGAGTAAAAATAGTCAGTGTTTGCATGAGGGGAGACAGGAATTTAAGATGATGCTTTCCTTTGTGTTTTTAAGCCTTTCTTGTATTAACTTGATGTAGATATTGAAAAATGTAATGTAAAACGTGCTGGTCATAATTATTTTGTTTTAAAAGTGTTGCTTTTCCCCTCTTGTAACAGGCACTATGATGCTAGAACTCCAGGAGAGAGTAACTGAACTGGAAAACTGGAAGGATGGCAAAGGCCTTATCATCTGTGGTGCAGGGAACACTTTTTGTTCAGGATCTGATTTGAATGTTGTCAAAGCAATATCCAATTCCCAGGCAAGTAGTGGTAGAAAGACTTTGGAGAAAAATGAGCTTTCTAGTTGTCTGAGGTCTCTTTCAAACAGAGGTGTTACACTGTGGTTATGCTGCGATTGTACATGCAAGTCACAGGAATGAGCTTTTCATGGTTGAAAAAATGCTGGCAGCCCTTTTAATCCACAATTTAAGTATTATGGTAATAGATTCATAGCCCTGAATTTCTGTATTAACATCTTTTTAGCCTTTTCTTTAAACAAAAAAAAAAGTCTTTTCAGTTTCTCAGAACATTAGATGGATTAGATTGTAAACTGACTCATAAAAAAAGTGTCTTTCAGTAGCTTCATCTTTGAAAGCAAGGAGAAGTAATCATTTCTCATATATTCTCAGGCCAGAAATAAATTTGAGTAGCATGGCTGCTATTGCAAGAACATTTCAATTTTGTCAGCAGAGTGTCTGGACCCGGATAAAAAGAGAGATGCAGTTCTTGTCCAGTTGAGCAATAGCGTTGATTGTGACCAGTTAGAGCAGTTGTGAGTAAGTTGGGCGTTGAAAAGGTAAGGGTTGGATGGCGGGTTTTCACTTATGCCTCCTTATGTTGACAACTTTCACATGTGCTGTTGTTTGTTTTTTTTTTTTTATGGGTTAATATATGGCTGTTGGCAAGGCTTGACTTCATTGGCAGCAAGGGAAGTGGGCCTTTCTGTAATACTCTCCCATCCTGATTTGAAATTGTGGTAACAGATAGGCTGGTGCTTTTCTATGCCCAGTTACAGGATTTGACCACACAAATTAGTCCTTATTGAATGGTTTAGTAAAAAAAATAAAAAATAAAAAATAAAAATAGTTTACCTAGTATTTTTCTTTAGTAATTGCTTCTGTTGATGAAATTAGGCATCTTAAAAAACCCTGTCTGAAGTATTTCTGGCCTGGTAACACAAGTAGGATGGTCCAGCTTTCAAAAGGTACAGTAGGCTTTGTTTCATCTGTGGAATACCCTGAGAGGTGTACTTTTCCTGATATGGGGGGCACTCTACCTTATAAATACATTTTTTGAGGAATTTTCATTTTCTGTGTTTATTAGCACTGCTCATTTTTGAAATAGAAATGTATCGGTGATTTTTTTATTATTATTATTGATCTTTTTTAGTCTGAGTTTTTCATTTTTTTATAGCATTGTAGAAACAGAAAGGGAGTGAAAACCAAGCATGGGCTTTCTTTTATCCACATCTGCAGTCTACGCTTTCTTTCAGACTTCTATGTTTAGTAATTCTCCATGATTCTGCTTCCATCCTCTCTTTGATGTTTAATATTCTGTCTGTATGTTTATGTAAGTTAGTTTGAGCCACTGCAATGGGAGATAAGGCTCCTAATCTTTACATGAGACCTAGCAGAGATACTGGGCATGAGGAAATATGTTGGTATTAGTTATAACTGTGTTGAAAACTTTCTCTGAGAATGTAGATCTCACACTAGGACTTAAATAAAAGTGCAAGTCATCAGAAATAATCTGAGAACAGTTAAACCTGATTGCTTTATGTTTCTTTTGGAGAGTTCAAATTATTTATTCTGAAGTGAAAGTTCCTTCACAATAGCACACTCCTAAACCATCTATTGGGATTTAAGTCTTTATTAAATAAAACTTTAATAGAATAGGGAATAGCATTTGCTGCTCTTTAGTCTTGCTGAACTCTGCTTTCTAACTTGCTGCAAATCAGAGAGTTTTGTTTTCTTTCAGGTTAAAAGAAGATTAAGTTTTCTATCCGCAAGTGTCTCTAAGGTGTTTTGTTTTGTTTTCTGTTTTGTGAGGCTGCTTTAGCCCGTAACTTTTAGCAATGACAGGTGATGCTCTTGAGTGAGGGCAATCCCAGACGTGTATACAGACTGAGAAGGGAATTTCGAGAGCAGCCCTGCAAAGAAGGGCTTAGGGATCCTGGTAGATGAAAAACTTAATGTGTGCTTGCAGCCCAGAAGACCAGCAGTATTCTGAGCAGCAAAAGTGGGGCAGCCAGCAGGGCGAGGAAGGGGATTGTTCCTCTCTTCTCTGCCCTTGTGAAGCCCCATCTGGAGTACTGCGTCCAGGCCTGAGGCCTCCAGCACAAGAAAGATGTGGAGCTTTTGGAGAGGGTGCATAGAGAGGCTGTGAGGATGACCGGAGTGTTGGAGTACCTCCAAGGCAGACAGAAGGAGCTGGGCTCGTTCAGTCTGGAGAAGAGGAGGCCGTGGGGAGACCTCATTGTGGCCTTTCAGTATTTAAAAGGAGATTATAAACAGGAGGGAAATGAACTTTAATGTAGGTATTTAGCAATAGGGCAAGGGGAAATGGTTTTAAACTAAAGGAAGAGAGACTTAGATTAGATATCAGGGGGAAGTTTTTCACAGTAACCTTATTTTATTTTATTCAGGAAGACTTTCAAATTATGTTGTCTGAGACTCAAGCTAGCCGATTTTGGGTTTTTTTCAGGGTGTTTTCTGTTTAGATATTTTTCCATATGATACACAGTAATTGGTCTACTAGTAGCTTACAGGAAGACCTTTATTTTTCTCAGCTCAGTCATAACTACATTCATCAAGCTGGCCTGTTCTGGCATTAATCTTTCTTTATATACATCTCGAATTTTGGCATTAACTGAAGTGGCCATCTTGAATGCAAGAACTCAACTGTGATGAATTGAAAGTGCCTTTTTCTGCAGAGCTTCTTTTCCAGCCGCATCCTTGTGGTTATAGTATGGGAACTGTTCAAGTACATTTGAGAACTGATACCATGGATAATTGTGTGAGTTTTGAACTTCCTGATGAGAAATGTTAAGGCAGCTATCATGGAAGATTTTATTATCTTTAATTTGGTGTGGAAATATTGCTACTGATCTTAATGGACACAGAAGGTGGCTGCAGTGAGTAACAAAAGCCACTGTTTTTAAACCAAAATACTGAATTGAAGCAGTATCAAGTTCAGAGCCATCCATGGTCCTATACAGACCTTTAAATCTCTTTGGATGTTTGCCTGGGAGAAGTGAGAAGAGGAAAGGCTGTAAAATTTCACATCGCAGAAACTTGCAATTGTTTTAATAGTGTCTTAATTCTAAATGAAATTCTAAAAAGTGATTGAGAGTTTTGTTTGTTTTTAACTCAATCCATATATGGTTTTTCTATATGTTTTTAAATAGGTTTTCTATTGGTGCTTATTGAGTTTGGGCTGGAATTTGAGCAAGATTAACCAAATTCAAACCTTTTAGAGTGAATATAATGAATACTCATATCTACTCTTTTTAATTGTGACACGTTAGAATTACTTATCATTTTTAAATTTTCTATTCTTTGTAGGATGGGATGAATATGTGCATGTTCATGCAAAATACCTTAACCAGACTCATGAGGTAATATATTTTCTTTACCCTTCTTTTAAAGTAATTATAATGATTGAAATTTGTTTTGGCTAACTCTTTAATGAGATGTTGAAGCATGTGATTTTGAATCCCAGAGCTTGTATTTGTGTATACTTATTCAGGTAAGTATTTGTGGATTGAAATTAAACTTTGACAATTTGCATTGTTAGCCTTTCCAGAGATTGGAACAGAAAAAATTAAAAAATAACCTGTAAGTTTGTATATGGAGGGACTGGGAGGTAATTAGAGTTAAGGAACTCAAGATCTTGGAAGCATCTTACTCGCTAGAAATCAGTTGTTCTTAAGAAACAAGCAGGGCTAGCTTATACAGCCTACGCAGGTAACATTTATCTAATGTATTTATTTAATCTTCCCACTTCATAAGGAGAACATATTCAGTTCTACCATCTGGTTCTTCTGTTGTTTTTTGTTTCTTTTTCTTTCCTTTAGATTAGGCTTCTTTTAAGAAATCACATTTTTATTGCGTGCACGTGTGGTAGGTTTTTGTTGTTTGTTTTTTTTTTTTTTTTGTCTGTTCAGGGCCCTGGAAAGATAATTATTTTTTCTTTTCAAGTAATATATATGAGAAAATGTTATAAGCTAACTTTATTTTGTAAAACTGCCCTGGAGACTGGTGACTTATTAATACTAATACTGTATTGTAAGGAATCCTCAGGATCAGAATTAGCATCCATTTGTATAAGCTGGCCTAAGTATAATAAAGATTGATGTGGCAAAGCGAAGAAAATGTATGAAGATTAAGACTTCACCTCAAGGGTTTTAACTTAGGGTATCTTACACTGTATTCCATTTGTGGTTCAGGTGGAGCACTAAATTGCTGTCTGGCCAAATCTATCTTACAGGGGATCAATTTCCATCAGAGAGAGCTGAGGCAAACTGTGGTCCTGAAGGAAGTGCCTCAAACAGATGACTGTGGATGTAGGATACTTGGACCATATCGTCTGGTTCCCTATAGACTATAGGAATAATGAGATTTCTTTCTCCTAGTGGGCTCCCCTGTGTGATTTATTGTGTAAAGTGTATTGCAATAAGTGGACTTGGGCTGTAAGAAATTGTTGGTGGTTCTATTAAGGTAGAAATAAAACCAAATACATGATTGTGGTTGGGAGGCTGACTTCTGAATGTATTTTTAACAGTGAACAATGAATTAAATGTTTCTTCATAGTAAAAATGAAACAGCTTTACCAGCGTGAAAAGTCTAGGACTAGTTATCTTTATTTTCTAGGTTACTTAGCTTATCCTAAGTCAGTCACTGTTTATTAGTATTAATTTCACAATTAGAGAACAGGAAGGATTTATCCCTATGTACTGTTCCTTCCTTCTGTCCTTTAAATTACCTTGAATGTGATTAAATACAGCATCATCAAAGGTAGCAGATTGTTGCTATCCTCAAAGGACGGTTTTGTCCTCTAAGAAGTTTTGTTGGTTGAGATGCTGCTGTTTGAAGAAGCTGCTGAGGTTGTTACGCTGAATCTCATTATTTTTAGATAACCCAGCTGTGCAGTCCTTATCTATTGCTCTATGTACTATATCAACTTAGCGTTTAGTCTTGTGTCACTGTTCTTCTTGCAGATAATCTTTTCAGGTATAATCTGTGGCATATATTTTTCCATAACATAATACATGATCTGCTTTGCTGTGATTCTGTTAGCTACTTCTGTCTTGCTGCTTCAACACGAGAGCCTGAATTAGTTGTGGAATAATTGTTTCTGTGTAAGTGGAGTTGGTATTGTGCCGATTATCTGCAAAAGATATAGTTATTTGAATAAGATGGAGCAGTATGTTTTTCTGAGCTTCTGCTATAGAGATAGTTTGTCTGAATCCTTATTTCTAGAACTTCATGTGTGAATTTTGCTCACAAAAATCTCTTGCTTAGGTTGCCATTGATCAGCATTGCACTAGTCCAAGGAAAAGCTCTTGGAGGAGGAGCAGAACTTACCACAGCATGTGATTTCAGGTAAAATTAACAGTTTGAGTAGTCACCACGTTGCTTTGACAACTTAATGACTGTACCTATGAAATGTAGGAAGCATTAGGCACTGCTTTTTCTTGGAGTCATGTCTGTGGATTCCAAGGTATTAGGAATTAGGCCTATTTGCTTGGTCAGTAAACTTCAGGAAGCTCCATCTTTTCCTGTGATAGTATGAAGGAAAGATGTTTTACTGCTGAGTTATATAGCTAGAATCAGTGTGTAAAACAAGAGCAGTGAGGAACTTTAAGAACTATCACTGAACTATCACTGAACTATCACTCTTGTTACAGCCTCTGTATTGCAGCATTATAAATACTTGGTAAAAGGTGTCTTGTTTGACAGCTGTAGTATTGGCTGGAATGCACCTCAGAGTCCTTTGCAAGTCCACTGACAGAAAGTGGATCGTGCTATCCCTAAAGAGGAGTTTAAGGAATATAAGCATAATGAAATGGAATCTTTTGGCTTTCTGAAATATATACTCTACTCTTACTCCAGCTATGTTGTTTGACATACTCTATCATTATAATCATTGTCAAGTAGCTCTTATTTGCATAAGTGAGCAGCTGCAGTTCCTTTAATGCGCTGCCATAATTTTCGCAATAACTACAGTTGTTGATCAATTTTCCACTGCTTTCTAACACACTCATCCAGTGCAACTAAATAATAGCAATTCAGAAGCAGCAAATGGGGCTTAATTAATAGCAGAAACAAGCTAGAGAAAAATACTGTGTGCTGTTATTGCTCCTGAATTCGATGATTTCAGTACTTGGCAACAGAATCGCAGTTCTTTTGAGAACTATGAGCATATATTACTGGAACAGAAATTCTGTCTTGAATCAGGAGATGCCAAAAGAGGAACCTGAGAATGAATCAGAGAGGTTTGGTTTTTATCTTGAATAAACTGGTCAGAGAGAATGAGTGAGTTGTGGCTGCTTTTGATTCTCAGTTTTCGACTGAGAATATTTTTCACTGTTAAGCTACCAAAATGTTTGGTCCTGGCCTGAAAAACTTTGTTTATCTATACCAGTCTGTTCTGCATTATTTATGTTGATGTTGTTGAAGTGATTCACTTGAATGAAAATGGCTTATATTCCTTCTTAGAAATGTGTTCTGGTAACGTGTTACAATCTGTACTGAAGTAGAAATGTGGACAAATTCAATTTTAAAATAGCTGATGTGGTTTAAGATATTATTGGTGTTAATAGACTGTTCTTCCAGTGGCAGTTCTTGTGGTTGTCTCTTTATTCTATTTTCCACCAGCTCATTTAAAATTGGATTAGGTAGGTCTTGCATGAACTTTGGCAACTTATTGCTGACACAAGAGCAGTGATGGGAGGAGAAAGTATCTTAGGTTATTCCACCTTCTATCTGGAAGAGGATGTTTTCTCAAGGCATCTTCAGTCTTAGCTTACTTATGGAGTGTTGCAGTGTGGCTCTTCATAAGAAGCAAGATCCTTTTAAGATCATAAACACACAATTTGTTTTTTAAATTGTTCTCTAGCCAAGCATGAGGTCAATAAAATCCTTTCAGGCTTTTTTTTTCTGATATGAAAATTAGGAAGATGAAGCTTCTGTCACTGTAATTATCTCACTTGTCTATTCCTGTAAATCTGAGCAATGTAAAACCATGCATGTGTCAAACTTGTTTGGGTAGCAAAGCTTTTTAGTAGTTTCAAGAAATCTAGACTTTCTTCCAGCGTGCCACTGCTGAACATTTTCTCTTCTGAATCTGTGAAGGCACCTGGAGGATTCTGCTGCCTACCGTCGGTGTATGTTGCAGTTCTGCTCAACACTGCAGCCATTTCAGTGAAGTACACAAATGCTTGTGATGCTGAAGCTTTCACCTGATTCAGTGATGCAATTTTACAAAAAAGTTAAATGAATTCTATGTGTGGAAACCTGAAATATGTCATATATTTGCACAGTGCATGAAGTTAAGGAGCATGGAGTTTGCAGATTGGCTAAGGAATTTGAGGAAGACTTGCTTACAGTGGGTTTCTGGGCAATTAATTAATGATTAGGTATGGGGCAGAAAGTTTGATAATGAATCTGTCTGTACAATTAGCAGAACATGGTAATCTCTGAGCATATTAATATCAGTAGGCTAGCAGCCAATAGCCAGGAAAGCTAATTTTGTGTTCTGAACTGTCCTATTTCACACTGTTGCCTTTGAGAAATCTCACTGCTGTAATCTCACTGTGACAATCTGTGTAGGTCTTCTTGTTACTTGTGCAGCTCTGTAAAAATCCATCTGTACCCCTCTTGGCAAATGGACTTCACTGTACCTCAGCGTGTTTGAAAAATACACTTCCCTGGCACCACCCTTTAACCAGGATAGAGACATTGCAGTTCCATGTGAGTCCAGTGTAAAAGGGAGTATCTCCAGGCAGAGAGCAGGAGTAAAAAGATGAAAAGCCGCCCACGTCTTGTATCACTAATGTCAAAATGGTTCATCGATAGAAGCCGAAGTATAATTGCCCTTTTTAGAAAATAAGTTAATCAACTGTAATTTCTTGAGGTGGAACTGATTTGGCACAGTTGAATCACAACGGCCCAATTTCATTGTTGTTGTTTGTGCTTAGCCATATTTTTACCTCATAAAAAGCACCAGTGATTTAAAGAGGCATTTGTTTTCTGAGCAGTCTCTTGCTGTCTTTAGCAATGGCAGAATCAAGCTTTTACAAGGAAAGGAGCTAATACTGGTAGTAATGCATTGATACCATATTGGCCTTGCTGCATTTTAATCAGGTGTTTTCTGTATTTTTGTGAAACATGTAAGCATGCTCCTTAGTATTTTAAGGTGATAGGTGTGTTCCATTAGACACATAAGAAATGCACTGAAATGCACTATTATTGGATAGCTTTCCTTGTGTTCTTGTAATGATTAGTTCATGTACTTTTACAAGCATGAATTAACTGTAATTTACTCAAAATGATAGGAGCAGAAGAATACAGACGCATTATAAATGTAGGCCCACTATGACTGACTTCTCAGTTGTAGGCACTCATCCTTTTATTAGTTTACAGCTCATTTGTTGCTCCTTTAAAACAACAACAAAAAAAACCCCATCAAAACAAAAAAAGAGTGCCTCAGTACTGAAGAGAGCATGATATGAATGGTACAGTGTTACAGGAGGCAATTCACACATTCATGAGTTCTTGCAGAATCCAGGCTGACTTTACCACACGTGACTCCAGAAATAACATAGCTGCACACTGTCAGGGACAGAATCGGGAGCTAAATCTAAGAATGTGTTCTCACAGCTTTAGGTGCTTACTGGATGCCACCGATCACTTGTTTAGCTATATTTAAGTTCCCTCTCACATTCATATGTGTGAGTGTGTGTGTATATCCACTCATAAAATGCCCTTCAAATCAGTTGGCAATTTAAAAATTTCATTGCAGTCATGCACCACTTCACGTTTTTAGAACCTTGGGAGGTTTCTTATTACGATTTTCTGATGAATTTTCAAAGCAATGGATTATAGAAGCAAACTGTGTGAAACATTTAAGAATGCAGTTCTTATTTTTGACCTTGAATGTTTGGCATCTCATTAAGTAACCACAGTACTACTAAAAAGGGACACAAAAATCTGTACGTCTATGGATTTGTATTTTCTTTATTACCATTTTTGATTGGATTTTGAATCTCACGCGTTTACAGTCTTCCACCCAGAGGATTTTTTAAGTATTTTTTTTTATGTCTGCAGTTCAAATTGACCACTGATTTAACTAGAAATATAAGTAACAACAACATAATGTGAATTTGAGTTGAAGTTTTCTTTCTGAAGTCATCTTTTTGTAGAGATTTACTTCATTCAATTTTTTTTTTTCTTTAGGAGGCCAAACCATCTTATTGTGATTGAATGTGATTTTTGTTTTCAGCATCTATTTACACTACCTTTAACACTAGGCAACCTCATGTCCTTTTTGTGTACGGCTAATGCCATGCAAGAATAGTAGAGATAGCCCAGACAGTGAAAAACAAGATAAAATAGATTTTAGGGAATGCAGAGTTGGATACATGCTAACTCCTGCTGAGATACCAGGCTGTCATTTCGCTGTGGAGAAGCATTCTAGGTTCAAGAAGAATTAGTTCAGGAAAGGTAGAAATGCAAGGAAATCATCTATTACAACTGCATCTGTGAAGTGATTCATCCCCAGTGTAGATAAAACAGCCTCCAGGTATTTGACACTCCACTGCTGATTTTCACTACCAAAATAATCTTCCTTCCCTTATTTTTTTCTTTATATCAGATACCTCCACAAGTTGATTAATGTAAAGTCTGGGAGACACTTAGGTATTCAAGTCTACTGACTATGAGGTGGAGTTATACTGAACTATGATTTCAAAAAAAGGGCAAACTGACTGAACAATTCATCTTGATGGCGGAGGAGTAGAGTGTCCCTGCTGCTCTCCTCTGCTCACTGCTTACTCATGTGCCAGGTACCACTGAAAATGCCTGTATGAGTCAATTATCAAACCTAAAGTAATGGAAAGGCTAGATACTTTTTGTTTCTGGAGTGAGTGATTTGCAGAAAGCTAGAAATGACTAGAACCAGTGTAAAGGTGGAACTGGGCATCTAGGAGAGGATGACAATCAGGAGAGGATGGCAATCTTTTGGCTTTAGGGAACTCTTAGGTTTTTGCCTCAGTTTTGCCCTAGTACTTCCTGACTTATCTAAAATCGTGTAATTGTGTAATAAAGAATGCAGACTCTTCAGACCTGTAAACATGGGTAGATTCAGCTTCTTCCTTTCTGGATTCTATGGTTTGTAAAAAATGAGTTGTTACTGCTGTAACTCATCAGTTACAGTACGGAATAAATAAAATTTTAAATTCCTACATTAAATTCCTATTTTCCTTAAATTGTTGTGTGTTTAAGAACCTATGGTTGAACGTACCACCAGTTAGTGATCTGAATCTGTCTTCACTTCCTCATCAATGTAACTGATCTGTCATATTAAAAAGTTAAAAGTTGGA